CTAAGTCGCCTCAAATCACCTAAAGTAACAATGGTTTTTTTCTGCCAATTTTGCTTAAGTAGCCTAAGGTCGCCTCAAATCGCCCGAAGTCGCCCAAAGTTTCGGCGACTTAAGGTCCCAGAGTAGGCCTTCTCTGTTTCGCATCTACAAACCTTGTTTTCATGACATGTTCTGATGTCAACTGAAATGCTAGTCCTAGCCCCCTGCCCGATGCAAACATATGTATTAGAAAAAGCCTTTCAGGAACGTGAAGGTAAGATTCACTGCTTATGTACATTCAGTCATGGTTGCCAAGGACATAGACGATCAAAATGGTGTGAAATTTCACGAAGGCACAATTTTCGGGAGTTGACAGTTTGCACTGTTGGTTCTTGATGTCCAGCTGACCTGAACCTGACTTTTTCTTCCACAGGTATGAGATGGTCCAAAGAAAGGCCTTCCTCGCCATCTTTTCCTTTGAATTCAACCGAAGCAGGTTTAACAGCAAAAATAACATTACCACGCTTTCCAGCAAATGCAAAGTATGTATAATTAAATAAGAGGCGTCCGTAAATATTTCCTGAAGTCTTGCAAAATGGAAAAAAATCGCAAATTCCTAAACGTGGCCATAATGTAGGTCTAGTGAAAGTTTTGTACGTTAGTTCTTGGCCCGGTGTTCTGGAAATGTAACCTTGGGGAACAGGGCTGGGAAAATGAAAGAGCAACGTTTCTTCTTGAAATAAATGTAATAACATTGGGAGAGTATCTAAACCGCAAACTTTCAGAGTGCTGCACCCAAGTTCTTGTGCAGTGAGCTCAAAATTTATCTTTGTCTTTCAAGTTCTTGTATCTTCGTTGTGGACAAGGAAAGTACTAAGCTAAATTTTCCTGGAAGACCTTTGGCACTCATGGAAAGACAGTTTCTTAGAAGTACATTATATATTGGTTGCTACAAAGTTTGTATGAGGGATTTCATGTCTTTTGGTGTCGCACAGCTCAATGCACTTTCTCATTTAATTGATTTAAATAACCGGATCATGAGCAAGCTTTTCAGTAGGGATTATTGGTTGCATATGTATACATGCATGTACCCTTCTAAAGCTGACAACAATGGCTTTCAAACGACTGAAAAAGCCTAACACAAATAGAAATAGTGTCGGATAGGGTGTCAAACTATCATTGCCGCCGTTTGTTTAAAAGCAAAATCTGATTGACTCTTAAGCATAAGTTTCACTGGCCATGTCCATGTTTTTTGCGGTTATTTTACACGTCTCCAGGCTATATTTACAGGTAAACGCTCTTAGTGGGAAAGTAAGTGTACGTGTTATTATATCTTGGTTGACAACTTTCGTTATTTCAATTGGAAAAGGTGATTAATACTAATACTTCTAATGAATACTGGGTGGTACCAATAGTTTATTTCCTAGGGGTCTTTGTATTGTGTTCTTGGGCAAGACACTTTACTCTCACAGTTCCTCTGTCCACCAGTTGTACAAATGGGTACATGCGAAGTTAATTCTGGGGGTAGCCATGCAATGGACTGGTATCCAATCCAAGGGGAAGTAGAAATTGTCCTAGTCGCTTCATGTTACGGACACCAGAGATAAGCTCCGGCCTGATTGGCCACTGGGCTCACACGCAAACTTTACCTACTTGCCCTACCTACATTGTTTGCTGTTGGTATTAGTCCTATAATTGTTATTACATTCATGGGTAGTACAGCCCATACTGGGTGAACAAGTTCAACAGTTCCATGGCAGTTTCACGGTTACGATTTTCACGAATAATAAACTAAGTGGACGAGAGCACTTCAGTAAAGATTACCGTAAAGTATAGTATTTCTCAGATTGGCAGAGTTTGCAACTTTTATCCAGATTTCTGAAATGTTGATGGTTGCACTGATCATGCTTCGCACTACAATTACTCTTCATTTACCAGGTGTACATTACTTCGTTTCACACCAATATATCTGTTTTTCTAGTCTTGTTCTTGGTGAATTACAAGTTCATTGTCGCAATCTTGCAGATTCTTTCAAGTCATCGTCATAATGGTTAGCTCACACTATTCTGGTGTAGTATACTCGCCAGAAAGTTTTACACCACAGGATCTGGTGACATATGATGAAGCACACGAATCTCTAGTTCCTGCAGCTTATGTGACTTTCCAGTTTAGTGGAAACGACTTTGATAATTACCAGGAATTTATTGTTGGAAGTGGAGCACAATCAAATAGTAAAACAAGAAGTAAGAGAAGCTGTGATAACAACGAGCAGTATTACAACAAACCACTCCAGCCAAATACCAACTACAGAGTGTTCCTTAGGGCTTTTGTTACTGAGGTATTGTAACCACCTCTTATCATTTATAACTACAGTTTTGCTTATTGATGCCAGTGGTAACTGTCAAAATCATAGATGCATAATCCCGACTCAAGTTAAACGTTACAAACAAGTCAAGTTGTTAAATGTAATGCTGCATTAGTGTGTTTTATTGTCAGTTTCGTTTCTTGGGAATACTCATCCTTCGTGCCTTTCTAGTCTTTCTACAAGTTTTAACAATGGCCAAAGAGCTGAATTGAATTTTGTACGTGCGGTAATTAATGTCACAATACCATCTGTGCACGGTGACTTTTTCGGCAAGTAAGGCATCAACAAATCTTTGCGATCAGATCCCATAAATGATAGATATACATGTTCAAAGGTAAACGTTTTCAACATAACCTGTTCATATACACGTACTTGCACATGAATTAAAAGACTTAAGCGGTGGAAACAAGGCATTGTTGCAAGCATATGTATAGGTTAACGTTAATCGTTTTAAGAAGGCGAGATTAAAAAAAAAACGAATATCGCTTTGCATAGTTTTCGTTAGATCCCAGTGGGCGCTAAATCCGTAAGAAAACTTTCGCAATAAGAGGGTTGATATTTTTGCGATTGTTGTCTGTTTGACAGGTAAGCAATCACATCTGGCTTGCAAAACTGAGCGATGTGATTATATTGTTGACCACTGTGATGATGGGTATTGTTGTCGATAAGGATGCGGACCACGCTAAAACACATCCGATTTGTTAAATGTATTTATCTTTGTAGGTGCTGTATATTTCGAGCAACTTCGTAGAGATAAAGACCAAAGGTATTGGAGAATAAAATTCGTTGTTTCTTCTTGTTGGATATGTGTTGTGTTAAATATTTATCTGTGGTTTTATATTTTGCATTTGCATTGTGCCAGGTTCACTGTAATAGCCTGAAACAAAACCAAATTAAAATCAAAGTGGTTGAATTTTGAACCAAAAAAAAATTTAGACAGATTCATAAGGAATAGAATGCAAGATTGTAAACTGATGTGGACATTTAAACGTGGCAGTCCTGTCGCCTAATAAGATGAGTTCGGTAACCGTGTCGGCTAGTTGTACTTGGGGAGAGGATGGAGAAGATACCGTAGGCCAAAAAAGAGGTTTCCTTGGTGGTCAGTATACAGCTCTCCCTATATTGCGGATACGTTCGGAAAATTAAAACCTTTGTTCTTAAACTCTTAGAGAAACCTGCTGTCAAGAAACTACCAGAAAAATCAATTTTACTGGTTGGCGAACTGGTATTGTTGACGTGTGAGGTCACCGGAGATCCTGAACCTTCTGTTACGTGGACTAAAAATGGAAATAGCTCTATACCACGGGCTCAGTTCAAGAACGGTGGTCGTATCCTTGTTATTAAAGACGTGCTTCCTGTTGACAGTGGTGTTTATCAATGTAAAGCATCCAACAAGTTTGGAGAAAGCCGTACATCTACAGCAGTGATAGTCGCTGGTAAGATGCACCGACTAGAAAAGAGATAATGACAAAATTTAAAGAATTTATACAACTGTTATAAGCAGAGTTTTGGCTTAATCCATCGTTAATCCTCTGAAAAAATTGTGAAACGACATTGGATGGACCGGAAGGAGGCTCGTATCTCTAGCTCACTCTATGGATGTTCTCAGGTTTTAAAACTTTTAAGGAAACGTATGGAAAATTGCGAGCCTTCCTCTTATCACCCCACTTTCTACTATGAGAGGAACATCACATTATGTGGGTGGAGTTTGTTGGCTCGCTTTCTTTACTCCCAGGGATTTGCTCGTAGTATAAAAATATAAGTGTCGCACTATCGTAGTCTATTGAAGCAGTTGCAACTTTTAGTTTAAAAAGGTTTATAAAAATGGGTTTTGGCGTAGTTCTTCTAATGACGTTGTTTTGCAGTTTTGATTTTTTTTTTCTTCTTTTTTGATGCACAGTTCCACCCACAATAGCTAGAGAAGTTTCCCCATCTTCAGTGATATGTGAAATGCAAACCCTTTGTACTTTATCTTGCCATGCAACCAGTGGCAGTCCTTTTAATTACTCTTGGACAAAGAATGGTCAGGTCCCAGGTAGTGATGACATCAAAATCATGAACAACATCATTGTTCTCACGCCTCGTGATGCAGAGGATTATGGGATGTATGTGTGCCATGCTACAAACAGCTTTGGTTCCACAGCCTACAAAATCACCTTGTCAGAGGGTCACAAGTCTTCATCGTCTGCGTTTTCATGTAGGTGCAAGCAGTTGGTAAATGTTGTTAAAACAGAGTACGCTATCTACTCGATAGTCACGTATCTACTGAATAATGTTACAACCAGGTCAGGGACAGAGGTACAAACCACTTTTCTTTTCTTGTGGTTATTCATGTGTTTTAGATTTTTTCGAGTAGGACGTGGATGATTCAGCTCACTCGAGTATAAGCAATTTATTAGCCAGCTCTTCCCTGGAGTTTTTAAGGACACTTCCTACCGAATTTGAATCACTGATGCTTCACTGTAACTCTTTCAGGGTAGCTACTTCAATCATTTCGATGTAACAGTGACTTTTCAGCTCAACAAGCCCTGGCAGTGAAGTATGGGCTGTTTAGACTCAGAGAGATATTTACTTAAAAACTCCAGATAAGCCACTTTACATTCCTTGTATATCATCTTATCAAGTGAAAACTAACCTAAGAAGATACCTAAGATACCTTTATTATTTTGATGCACCTTGTGAAACCATTGGAGCAGTAAGACTATGTTCTTCCCGTCACCGGAAAGTTCATTAGTTAAGAAATGAGTTAGAAAACACATTTTCTCGTTTCTACGAGTTACAGAAACAAGAGTGGAAGTTTCGGAGAATGAGAAGTGCTGTGAGAACACGAGCATAGGCAAGTGTTCCCACAACTTTTTCGAGTTCTGGGAGACTTCCTGCCGAGAATATTGCGCGAAAAATAAAACCTGTGTTTATTTCGATCTATTGTTACTCTTTGACAGATGGAAAAAGCGTTTTCTATGCTACGGTTATCACTTTATCCTGTATTGTTTTCATCTCGCTTGTTGTAAATGGTGTGTTGATACGGCGGCTAAGACGAGCTTTGCCTGAAAACAGAGCAACGACTGCGGACAAGTCCATCGCCGATAACGGATGTCAAAGTGTTTCACCACGTGATCAGCACATGTCAGAGCCAAGTTCATACATGGAACTCCGTCCCAGGCCTTTGGAAGGGCAGTCACCTGGTCCTCCTGAGTTCAAAAGTCTACAGGGCAAAGATGAGGATACCGAATATTACAATGTGGGATTTAACGAAGGAAAAGACGGACAGGAAGAAATTTACCTTGAAATAGGAAATGCCTCGTGTTGAGTTGTTTCCGCTCTTTGAAACAGAGGAATATAACAGGAAAGCTTAGAAATAGCCTATTCACGCAGTGCAACTACCGTGGGTACTATGTAAATATGTTACATCACGTTTCTTCTGTGTGAATGTGCTTCACCGCGAATGAGGTTTCCAAGGGAAACAAAACTTCTCTTGTAACCTTCTATATTTGATTATCTACTAAGCATAGTTTGTCTGGTGTGATCGTGTCGGGAAGCTCTTTAAATCACAGGAGTGATCAAAATCTAATTTCTCATAACAGCACCAATACATTATCAAGCAAAGGTGATGGGAATAACGATAATCAACAATGTTACTTTGTCTTGATATACCACCAAATTCTCAGAAGTTGTTAAAAGAACTGATTACTGAAACGATTAATAGAACAACAACAGTTCTTTTTAGAGAGATCTAACCATTTACTACGTTAGCTAGTGTGCAAAAAGTCGATCATATGTGTAAGCACAGTGTCATTTTTTTCACCATTGTGATTAGCAATCTCATATTTTGCTATAATGATAATGATAATGATAATGATAATAATTAAAATAGTTAAACAGGGAGTCCACCTCACTATAAGGTGCCCTTCAGTGGGGCCCGGCGTAAATAAATATTAAAAGTTAAAATAAACGTTAAGTTAAAAGTTGCTATGGCTAGTGATTTCGTTTTCCAATCCCGTTGGCACTTGTGCCTCAGGCTCACTGTCTCATTTTAACTTTATGTAATANGATACCGAATATTACAATGTGGGATTTAACGAAGGAAAAGACGGACAGGAAGAAATTTACCTTGAAATAGGAAATGCCTCGTGTTGAGTTGTTTCCGCTCTTTGAAACAGAGGAATATAATAGGAAAGCTTGGAAAGAGCCTATTCACGCAGTGCAACTACCGGGGGTACTATGTAAATATGTCACATCACGTATCTTCTGCCTGAATGTGCTTCACCTCGAATGAGGTTTCCAAAGGAAACAAAACTTCTCTTGTAACCTTCTATATTTGATTATCTACTAGGCATAGTTGGTCTGGTGTGATTGTCTCGGTAAGCTCTTTAAATCACAGGAGCGATCAAAATCTAATTTCTCATGACAGCACCAATACATTATCAAGCAAAGGTCATGGGAATAAGGATAATCAGCAATGTTACTTTGTCTTGACATACCACCAAATTCTCAGAAGTTGTTAAAAGAACTGATTACTGAAACGATTAATAGAACAACAATAGTTCTTTTTAGAGAGATCTAACCATTTACTACGTTAGTCTCCCTCAAGATTCCTATGACAACGTCACTTAGTAAGAGACATCTGCAACTACTAATATTATTCAAAATGTGGGCAGTAACATCCATCCAAAAGGAGTACGAAAAGGGACAAGTAAATAATACATAGTTTCTAGTTTCTTTGGTATCTTGACAAAAGGAACAGTTAGGGCTTGGAATATAGCCTATATTAAAAAGGATTTCATTGGTAAAAAGAATGGAGTTCAGTACTTTATATTTCAGAGATCTTAAGTAGGGTTCGCTAGAAACTCTTATGGGCAACGTAAAGACTTCTGCAATACAGTTATCTTACAAATCAAATTCTTCCGCTATCTTGGCCCTTTTCTTTGGCTTTTCATACTTAAACTTTATCAAAAAGCTATAATAGTCACAGCATTTACAGTTCTCAGGATCAAGAACGACGGTAAAAGAAGGTGGATGTGTACGTAGATTCAATGGCACTGCGTGTCTCAATCCTGTCCAGGTCAAGAAATTAAAATTCAAAAACCTTTCTCGTTCAAAAGTGTCAAAGGAGTCAATATTTGTCATTATAAAGTAGATCTTTGGTATACTTAATACCTTTTGAAATATATTGTTTATAAAACACACTTTGACCGTCAATCTTAATTTCTCTGTTATTCCATATATTATATTTATATTCGCTATTACAATCAACAAGGTCTCGTAATTCTGACTACCATTGATAATAACAATTCATAATAGAAATCAGGTAAAATATTTTTAAATTAAAATTTATCAACAGCATGGTTACAATTAAATTCAAATAACCCCCCGTGACTACTTAAGAGATCATTGAGATAAAGTTTCCAAAAACTGCTACTTACTTAATTTGGCCCTTTACTCCTCCCGGAGCATAGGCCACCAATAACAACTCTCCAGTCTCCTCTGTCCTGAGCTA